GCCCCCCCGCGTGAGTCGGTGCCTTAACCTGCACCTTGGTCCCTTCCATCATTCGTTTTTCATCGCCTGTCAGTTCAGGGAGTCGCAGCCGATGTCTGCGAACTTCTGCTCCCAGCGTGCACTGTGGTCCCTGAAAGCTCCGCTCTTCGCTCCGCCTATCCTCGATCTAATTTGTTCGCTAAGTAACGGGGTGTCGGTTAGGAGGTACGCCAGCCTGTTTCTTGACGTTCGATCCCGGAATTCTTTCGAAGCCTTCTCGAAAGGAACACCATAGTGAACCGTCTGGCCAATTTCCTTCGAAATCGACATAACAATCGCGAACTGTAGCGTTTGATTTGGTTTTCCCATCCGCTGACCGACGCCGACGGGTGGTCGAGTGCGGAACGCGTCTGCCACTACTCGTGCGAACGTGCATACATAGCTGTAACGATGCCTCTCGCGCTGGAGGTAACGCGACGCGGGCTCGGTCCCGCTGCCATCAGGTCCCCGGCCTTGATCCATCTCGGCAGATGCAGAGGACTGAATCTCTGAATCCTCGAAACCATCGGCGATACCCGGGACCCGAATCTTAGCTGTGTGGTCCAGCTCGAAAATGTGAATTCTTCCATCAATGCATAGGGGGGCAGGGAATCATCCAACTCCGCTTTTGCACCAGAATTGAAAAAGAAATCTGGAGAGAGAAATCCTCCCCGTATATAGAGACGACAGACGCAACTTTCGACGCAAACAGAAGTCCGAAATTCCTCCTCGACGATTCACCGCCATGATTTGAAATCAGAGGGAATAATTTGCCGCACCCTGTACTCGGGCCGCCTATTTCCGGCATCCGATCGAACTTACTCCGTGAGAAAAAACAGGAACTCGAGAAGTCGGGAAACCGAGAAGATTCCTGGTTCTCGGGCCGGGGCACAAGCTGAAACCATGCATATTCTTCATGGATCCGAGATCGCTCTGGAGAGCGTTTGGGGCCGGCCCCGACCGGAGAGAGAAGGAAGGCCGTCGGAACTCTCTTCGAGAGGAAACTAGGTGCTTTCCCGGGGAGAAACTCTGGTTTCTGAAGTTTGAATCAGCCAGCGACTTTTCATTTCACGCTTGCTCTCAGCGAATCTCAGATGGAGGTTCAAGACTTGACAACCTCGGTGCTCCCTTGTTGAGAACATGAACTACCGAGCTAACATGCGGAACGGCTGAGACCAGCTAATCGCTTCAGCGGGAATCGATGGCCCGTGGTTTATATCTCTTACTCTCACGCTGTCGACTCGATCCTCACGTCGTGGAGAATAACAAGCATAATTTTAAGTGTCAGCTCCCATTTCAGAGCAAGTGGACAGAGTTCTCTCGCACGGTCGGCAAACGAATACACCGGAAGAGGACGTCGCCGTCCTGGCTGCTTCGCTTATCCTGGGCACCAAGAGGAGTGCGGATGCGGCTTGCATCTTGCATTGCTCCTAGGGCTTTTTTCCAGGTGATTCTGCTGCGTCGTTGAGAGCGTGGAAGACTGAACGAGTCTCAAGTCCCAAGCATTCCATGGGCAAGCTCCGGGAGTTCGGGTTACATCCAAATTACAACCCTATATCAGGTCTTACTGTCTTACACAGCCAGGGGAAGCACTGTGCGGCCTCGACTTCTGCGCTCAAGGTACGGGCGCTAACGACAGTCCGCTTCGAAGATATCAAATATGTATCACACTGTTTCAAAATCTTGCACATCGAACCCTACTACATACTACATCTAAAACAGGGTGGTCCATTCAAATCTTACGATTTCAAGTGCTATATTCTCAGCAGCCATAGCTCGAAAACGGTCGCGACTAGTGGCTCCGAGATCAGCGCAATGGGAGATTTCTCGCACTGAGTTCCCAGACTTGACGGATTTTCTTTCTCTTCCGTCTACGATCAGACAAGCCTCTTGTCAAGAGGACAAAATGGATTCGAAACAAATCATTCATCCATTGAGACACACATCTTTCAATGATCTGTGGAACTCTCTAGGCACACGACCCTCACGGTTTGAAACCTGATCACTGTTCTTCCAAATGCTCATTTGTGGGAAGTTGGTGAGAAGTTGTGACATTCGTCGACAACGGCTTTCCGGGGTGCACCTCTCCAATCGCTCGCTGAGCGGGATGGGACATTGGGCCCATTTTGTCGAGAGAGATTGCCACATGTTCCAGAGTTTCCTGCCGGAAAAAGCTTCGAAGATGAGGAAGGCTCAACTTCCGACACGACATCGGTCCATGGCATTCAGAGGCGATGCTCCCAAACTTCCAAGGCGAGAGTATGGGAGAAGAACTGTGAGGCCTAAATGCCGCGCCAAAAACCGAGGCCTAAAGGAACTGCGTCGCAGTTTCATTGAGTTTTGGATGCCGTTAGAAGGCTTTCAAGACATTTATGGCACAACATTGGAAACGTGCACATGATCCCGTGAGTAGGCTTTCCTGATGCTTTCTTGAATTCCTTGGACTTCCAAAAACTGGCATTTGCGGAAACAGCATACTGGTCCTCTCCTCTTGAGTCAAATCAATGGGAGTCCGGGAGTAAGGCCACTTCAAGTCCCCACACCTCGAAATGAGCTTCCCCGGGAATTCCCGTCGCAGGAATTGCATCACAATATTCGCAGTGTGGGCTGTGGCACCATCTTGTTGGAACCACACGCGATCCAGGCCCATTAGCCGAAGCTGAGGCCGGAAGAAAGTCTCAAGCATTGAGAGGTACCGGCCACTATTCACAGTGACGGTGACCTCGTTTTCTTCGAAAAAGAAAGGGCCAATTATCCCCGCAGTTGAAATCGCGCTCCATACAGTCAGACGTTTCGCGTGGAGAGGCTTCGTATGGAGCTGTTGCGGATTCTGAGCGCTCCAATATCGCATATTCTGACGATTTACGCAACCTGACAGCTCGAAGTGAGCTTCATCACTGAAGAACACCACGGCATCGAGGGGAAGGCGGTCGCGGAGCGCTATGCAAGCTCGCTGACGCGCAATGAAATCACCGCTGCGGAGCTCTTGGGCCACAGCGAGCTTGTAGGGAAGGAGCTCGAGGTCTTCGTGCAGGATCCTCCCCAATGTGGTCCTTGCAATTCCTAAAGAACTTGAGTGCCTCCCCGCGGATCGCTGCGGCGAGCGGGAAATCGCTCGTGCTGATGATGGACCTTCGTCGAAGGAGTCGTATCGACAGGGTCTCGCGGGTATCCATCCCACTGCCGGTGCCACAGACCCGGAATCTCGTAACTTCGGAACTTCTAGCAATCTACCTGGCAGTACGTCACTTCATACATCACGTGGAAGGGCGGCCCTCCACGACGGACCACAAACCGCTCACCTTCAGTCTGGGAAAAGAAGGGACACCGCTTCGGGCGAAACAACAACGACATCTCTCATTCATAGCAGAGCTGACCTCGGACATCCGTCATATCTCAGGCCGAAAGAACGTGGTCGCCGATTCTTTTCCCCGACCGTTTGACATCAGCACAGTTTCTCTGGGCTTGGATTATCATCAGCTTGCCATCGATCAAAGCGCGCATTCTGATTACAAGAATTGCGGCTCCGAATGCCCTAGTCTCGAGTGGGAAAGCATCGAACTGGTTCCAGGTGGGCCAAAACTGCTCTATGACATTTCTACGGGCAATCCGAGACCCTAGCTTCCGGGAGATTGGTCTTTCCATATAACCTCCGGCCGGGGCGTACAGTTCGTTCCGGGCATTTGGACTGGCGGAGGCGCTTCAAGTGGAGGTCCATCGCACGACGGCCTTGCGTCGCGTTGATTGCAGAGAAATCAGCTCAATCGGATACAGAGCTCCTGGTATTTTTGTGGAATTTCCCCCTCAGACAGACGCGTCCACAATGCGTCAGGGGATGCCGGTTCGACCGCTGGGTGCATTAGCAACGGAGAAATGATTCACCTTTCCCACCCATGCGGCTCCAGTGCTGGTTCGCGACGCTGCGATGTCCCGACCCGTGGGGGTTCTGAGCTGAGCTGCACGTGATCACCTCCGGAAACCAGGAAATCGACAGCTGACATGAGTGATACCCAAATCCCGGGGCTTGATCCCTCCTTAGGTTCGTGGTGACGGCATCTAGAGTTCTCTCTATGACTCTCACTCTAAATCACTCTGGGTAGTCGGATTTTCCTCCTCCTGAACTCAATGAAGTGGTTCGCGAGATTTCGAGTCTGATAATGGTAACGGGGAGGATTGAGGCCAGTCGCTCTTGAAGCGACGAAGGAACACGAAGTCATCGGAAGGGCTTCCCATCGGTCTCTTATCGTTAGTGCTCACTAAGTCCCGGCCCGGAGATCTTGCGCCTCGGAGCCCGCTGTCCTGTCACTCTACGTCTTGGATTTCACGTCGTGATCGCTTACTGAGCGGACGAGCGACCTTATTGTCATCTGTCCCAATCATCACCATGAGACAGGAGCGGGTTGGCGGAAGTCGGAGACGATGTATCCCGGAGCCCACGACGAAAGCCTGTTCATGATATCGCTGGTTCTAATTCAATCCGAAGGCTTGGGGCAGATTGCGTAAGGCAGGTCGCGTTTCCCGAATGAATGGAATGCCGCAAGTCTCACTCACTCTGACGTCTGAAGCTTGAATTTGAAAAAGTCCGAGGAGACGAGCATCCATAGTCAATAGATTCCTGTCTGCACGTTCCTGAGAGCGTTTCGTTCAGTTTGCCTCGGCTCTGTGTAAACGAGTGAGCGGGGAGAAGTTTACCGGACAAATTCCGCTGTACGAAGCTTGGAATCACCTGAGCCCCTCAAGGGCTGTATCCAGCTCGGAATCGAAGGATCGGGAATAGCAGTGGGCGATTGCTGTCTTCCATATATCACCATGAACCCTGAGACACCAATTTTCGAATAAATAAATAATAATCACCATAATACTTTATTTCATCATGCTCAGCGAGCAGAATATTTGTCTTCAAATATCACGATATCTGGTTATCTCCCACCGCATCAGTCGGAGAATAGCCTTGTTTCTCCTTCGCAGATTAATTGGTTCGTCTATGGCGACAAGTCGTTGTCACTATCCCCCAGAGCCAAGACGTCCATGTCATCCACCATTCTCTGCATCTCTTTGAGACCCGTTAATTCCTCGAGGAAGTCTGGTTCGTTGAATGCTCGGAGCAGGAACTCGAAACCCGAGTTCCCGTACTCCGAGAGAACTTTCGGAAAACAAGCAGTACACATCGAGAAACGCTGCGTGTTCGGTGTCATGAAGTGCAGTCTGCTGAGGAACATCCTGATCTGGTGGGGTGCTAGACCCAAAACATTATTCGGCGAGTCCCTTTCATTTCTGTCCAACTCATCCGCGTCGTCGTTGAAGGCGTTGTCCGGGAGCGCATCGTTCCCCTGTTCATGCTGCACGAGGGTGGCGAAAAGCTCTGTCAGGAACGACGCCGCCATGAAACTCACGCCGGGTCGTGTCACGGTGCACTGTTGATCCAGGGTTCGATCCTTGGTCGAGTTCATGGGGCCCACGATATCGTTGCAGAAATAACATCCCAGCTTGTTCTTGAGCGTACCGTGTCGCATCGCCAGGAACGAGTCGAAGCCCAACGCTGCGTTGTCTCTTCAGAGCTAGCGTGTTTCCATCTAAGTCTATAGTTGCCCCGTAGATTCTCAAGAAATCTTCTCCTAATATCAGGTCTTCTGACAGGTTGTCAATTATGACGAACTCATAGGGGACAAAATTCTGACATTTATTTAGACGGATCATGAGTACGCACGAGCCCTTGGAGATAATCGCCTACCCGTCAGCGGACGTAATGCTAAGGTTTTTGGACGGACGAACGTAACATGGTGACTTGCCAGGAACGTTGTACGAACCGCTGAAATGTCGGCCCCCAGGTCTGCCGGGGCGATTGTCTTTCCGTGCTTGCTGACTTCGACGATTATTTTGTTCCTCCGGAGCGTCGCTGCGCCCTCGAGCCCCGGATTGGGCTCCGAGAGCAGCCGCGCTAGTTTCCCGAACGGGTTTTGGATTGGTTTTGGTCAGCAGAGCTCACAGGTTTCACTGCTGGGTAGCCACGTTGTTGTTTCGAGCAGTACTTGATTATGTGTCCTTCGAGGTTGCACCAGTTGCACAACGGTATTCCATCAGGAGTTCTTCTGTTGCCGGAGAAGAAGGGTCCACTGGTTATTCTTTGGGCGTGTTGAACGTAGATCGGGGTCTTCCTTCCCGGTGATCCGGTATTCGGTGGGTTGACAGATCGCGTCGGATCGGAAGGCCGGAATTGG